TCTCACAGTTACTACTATTGAGCAAGGTGCCACCTATGCTGTACTTGTGCATTTGGTTTTTCTTGCCTAAATGTAGAACCTTGCTTTTTTCACCATTGAATTTCATTTTGTTAGATAGTGCCCAGTGTTCAAGTCTGTCCAGATCTTTCTGTATCTTAAGCCTGTCTTATAAATAGGTATATTATAATGCAGTTATTGATCAAAAGCAGGGGTCTTCAAATTTGGCCCTTTTGTGACTTGTGGACTTCAACTCCCAGAATTCTTCAGCCAGCGTGCCTGGCTGAGGAATACTGGGAGTTGAAGTTCACAAGTCATAAAAGGGCCAAGTTTGAAGTCCCCTGATCAAAAGAAATCTACCAACTTGGGCCAAAATATATGCCTTGAAATCCAAGTTTCCTTTGAATTGTAGTAAAGAGAAACAAATAGCATTCCCATAGAAAGCAAATGAATAGCTGCAGGAGTTCAGCAAGAGCCATAGTACAGCCCAGAAGGACTGTCAAGGCACATCAGTTATGATCTGAGGTGATATTTTTGTCAGCTTTGGGAGGCAAAGAACAGCAGTCTGAAATGGACTTATGGATGGATGTATTTCACAAAAGATGAGAGTTCTAAATTTCATTTGTGTACCCATGATAGCTTTACATTGTGAATTTATTTTTAATTTATCAAATTACATCGGATGCCTAAAGGGCAACTTATTTTTACTTTCACGCAATCTGAAATAAATCTGATGCCAGTAAAGGACTTCCTGACATTTCTTAATGCTGCAGGCATATTGCATAATATTTTCTGTTATCCACTAACTCATTTTTTGCTTCTATAAAATTTGAAAACCTGTAGGAAATGTTGTATGTGAATTTGTGTACCTTAGATTAAAGCACAAGAAAAAATAATTTAAAAAGCTATTTGAATATAGATTTAGGTTTTTAAATAAAAGCAAATTGTGGCCCACCTCAATGTTTTTGAATGTACAGTTCTTCGGAGATTATCTATTGATAATCGCAAAGAGCTGTGAGTTGTTTTAATAGATGCCTTATAGAACTGAAATACAGAATAATTTAAAATTTATTTTCTTGGCTGTTATTCTCATACATAAACAAATATATTTAATGCAGTATTCAGCAGCCACAGGCTAGTTAAACTAGGAGCATGCAGAATATAAATAAATGAATTGTAATAGTGTATATTATTAATTTTATTTTTGCAGTGCCTGGCCCTGTACCTACAAAATCATTAAAAGGAACTCCCTTTGAAGACAAGATCTTCTTAAATTGGAAAGAACCAATGGATCCAAATGGTATCATCACCCAATATGAGGTATTTATTTATTCATTTATTTTCATTGATCATATTTCTACCCTGCCATCTCACCTAAATGACTCTGAGCATTTACAACAAACATAATATAAACCATAAATAAGAACAAAGTTATTAAAAGGAGTTAAAAGAATTAATTTTTTTGCTTAATTGGGCAAAAAAACCCATGAGTTTATTTTTTGGGGAAAAAAAGAAAACTAAACTACAGATGGCATTTTTATCTGGATTCTGGATATAGGCTATGAGATCCCCAAGGCTTTTTTTTTTTTTTGCTATCATCATCTGTAGATCATCTGCTTAATCAGAATGCATTATTATACTGTGTGTATTGGTTTGAAATATATCCCTGATCAGAAGCACTCTATAAATTGATCCCAGGATATCAGAAAAGCAATGTAAAATTGTAGAAATGAAAAAAAAGCTATGCTAGCGCCTTCTTTTCAGTCTATTTCTGGTAAGTGAGCTGTTACTTCATAGGGTCCCTGGCTGCCTTGTGGGGTGGTCTCACTGCTCACTGATCAGCCTGCAGCTAAACAACATATGGCAGAAACCATTTCCATACTGTTAAAAGTGTTGTAAAAAACAGCATGTTGGAGCATATCTACTCAGAAAGGCACATGGGCAGTCTCTCCTGTTCAGAAAACCTATTTATTAAATTTATATGCCACCAATCTCACTGTCAAGTGACTCAACGTATGTTACTTTGAGGTACAAAGGGTGGAAGAGAATTGTGTTATGATGTATCCTTGCCTCTACGTGTATCTTTGCCTCTACATGAATGTATTAAACCATATGAAAGTATCGGGGCCACATAAACACATAAGGAACGGTTGCTGGAATTGGGCGTCTAGTTTAATGAAGAGAAGGACGAGGGGGGACATGATAGCAGTGTTCCAATATCTCGGGTTACCACAAAGAAGAGGGAGTCAAGCTATTCTCCAAAGCACCTGAAGGCAGGACAAAAAGCAACAGATAGAAACTAATCAAGGAGACAAGCAACCTAGAACTAAGGAGAAATTAGAACAATTTTAGAACAATGTTAGAACAATTAATCAATGGAACAGCCTGCCTCCAGAAGTTGTGAATGCTCCAACACTGGAAGTTTTTAAGAAGAGACTGGACAACCATTTGTCTGAAATGGAATAGGGTTTCCTGCCTGAGTGGGGGGTTGGATTAGAAGACCTCCAGGGTCCCTTCCAACTGTTGTTATAATAATAATAATAATAATAATAATAATAATAATAATAATAATAATAATAATAATAATAATAATAATAATAATAATAATAATAACTGGAGCACCACTTGGACACCATTGGCACTGACAAATTCACCATTAGTCAATTGCAAAAGGCGGCCTTACTAGGAACTGCTTCCATCCTGCGACAATATCTGTAATACCATCAAACATCCACATCTGCCTATACCAGGTCCTTGGTAAGGACTCGATAGGTAGACAAAAATGCTAAATCCAGTCTGAACATCTGGCTGACTGTGCGATGATCAATAATAATAATAATAATAATAATAATAATAATAATAATAATAATAATAATAAATGTCCATTTTTCAATTTAAGGAACAGCATATCATTGTCAACAAACCACACATCCTACCCAATGATAAATCTGTGAATTAATCCTTAAATTAGCATATACTGCTAATAATCTTTTGCTTCAGTCACAGACTGGATAGAACTCTTAGAATAAAAATGAAAAATACAGGCTAAAATTGCATAATAATGAAATCTTGTTTTCGCCAATATATTGCCAGTGAGCTAATAATAAATGATAAAATCTAGGACTTAAATATGCAACTTAGATCTGGTAGCATTAATATATAGCCTTCAAAAATCATGATTTAATGGAACCCTGTTCAATGAAGGCTACAGATAATATGTGTGAGAATTATTAATAGATATGAGACATTTCTAGACTTCAAGGTTTTCTCTCCTGGAAACTTGAAATGCAAATACTGAATTTTTTTAAAAAAAAATCATATATTTGACGAATGAGCCCTTGAGGAATGAAGGGGAAAAATAATTTGGCATCCAATTTATTATGTATCTGTTGTTTTTTAGAAACAGGCAGTCTTGTCAATATCACATTTTTCGTTAAAACAAACTAAATATCTATTGGAAGCACTTAAATGCCTCAATCATATATTCCAATGATTTAGTTTTTGTTGTATTTTAATGAGTACTTTTAATTGCTGGTTCTTCAATAAAAACACTTATAGGAAGAGTTCAGTGTATACACTGTATATTCAGTATAAACACTTGAATAAGCAAATATCATCACACAGCTTCCGTATGTGTAGGTTAATTAGAAAGAAAAGAGGAGATGTGTTAATATGCTACAAAATAAATAAATAAACACACAAACAAACCTGTTTAGCATTGTGCAAATCACAGCTGTTTGTATAATTTGTGGCCCACCAGTCATATTTTGTAGTCCTAGGGATCAGTAATACTATACTTCTATGTCACTACAGGAATTCAAAGAAAATGGGAAATTCAAAGACTAAAGTGAAACATTATTTAAAGAAAACTTGGGAACTAATTCATAGCAATGTGCTAACCAGGCTTGGAGTTCCACTAAACACTTGACATAATTTCCACAGGTCAGTTACACCAGTATACGATCCTTTGATCCTGCAGTTCCAGTGGCTGGGCCACCTCAAACGGTGTCAAAATTATGGAACAGTACACACCATGTTTTCCCCTATCTACATCCTGGGACTACCTATCAGTTTTATATAAGAGCCAGCACTGTCAAAGGTTTTGGACCAGCTACAGCCATCAATGTAACTACCAATATTTCAGGTAAAGACAAACATGGAAAAGTTGTAAAATTTATCATATTAAATCACCTTTCTTCAATTGAAACCAATGCCATTTCCATGTAAGGAAGACATCGAAGGCATACAGTAGTGGCTGCAAACGTGAATATAGTAAGTGGGTAATGATAAATAGGCATCAAGAAAGAAGGCTATGTGTATTTATGGATGCACTTATTTAAATCAGTGAAGGTATAAAGTGTTTAAAATTTATACTGAATTATCAAGATTGTCATGAAACCTGGCAAATGGTTGTCTAAAATCTACTATGCAGTTACGTCTACTTATTTTTGCTATGTTATATATTAGAATGCAGCCCAGTATACTTTACATTGAAGAAATTGTGGGAATTGGTGCTAGTCTGCTTTGGTTTGATTAGTTTTTAACTAATTTATGTGGCCCCCTATCTGATGAAGGTGACTCTGGGTGGCATGCAAAGATTAAAATACAGAACAGAACAAAAATCTCCCAAATTCACCAGTTCATTAAAACCAATATACAAAAAACAATGTTATGCACAAATGGAACTGATAGTTCTCCAATTTTTAGAAAACGCACTATTTTAATCATTTTTATTTACCATACTGCAGTCTGCTAGCAACAAATAAAATAAACTTGTCCTGCATATACAGATAGTCTTCTGGTAATTGGGACCAGCAACCTTGTCACTAAGCAACACGGTCACAAAGTGAGATGTCACAACTTAGGATGGCAGTGGCAGCAGTCCATAGGTTGTCATTAGGCAAATGCCATGCAGTTGCAGCATCCTATGGTCACAAGATTGCCATTTGCAGCCTCCTGCTGCCTTCCCCGTTAACTCTGCTTGTTAGAAGCAGGCAGTGAAAGTCGCAAATGACCATTGAGATCCTGTGATTGCAGAAACACTCCGATAGCTCCAACCGCAAGGACCCATCTTAAGTCTCTAATGCACAAGGACTTTCTGTATACAAAACTGATGCAAATAACTGATGGTCATTAGTTTAGTTATAGGTTCTGGGCCTCTTCTTTGGTGTTATCTGAAGTGACCAGAAATGAATAGAGCAAAATGAACATGGTACAGATAGTCCTTGACTGGGAGCAGGCCTAGCACCAGTGCGACGCTCAGGGTAGCACTAATGCGAGTGGGGGGAGTGCACACAGTGTTCAGCCATTCACGTGGCCCGGTGGCCAAGAGGACTAGGTTAGGGATCCCTGCCTTAGCTGACTCAGCCTGGCCCAACAATACGACCCAAAGCTACCAGGCGCCAGGAAGCTTCAGCCCCCCCCCCCCCACTTGGCCAAGCAGTACTTGCAACTGCAGGGGCACTGCAGCTGTGCCCCAGCTATCTCTTCCACTCACCTATGCCTTTTTGGCAGCCCTGCACTACTGACCTGTAGCACATTTAGAGCTATCAGTTTAATTTATCCATATCTTTTAAATACCGATCTATAGAAGAACATGAAATTCTTTTTTTTTTTAAAGGTTTTAATTCTGCTAATTTACTGCAAGCTTATCTTCTCTTAGAAGAATACTCTGGTTTCTAGATTAGAGAATTTCTTAATACCAACATCCAGATATCAAAAAGCAGCTGGATACAACAAAACAGGGTTTTTTTTCTCTTTTTGTCTTGCTGCCAAATGTTCCCAATTAAACAGTTTGTGTTCTGTGACTCCCTGAGAAAGTCTCCTGCTTTTCTTATTGTTCCACGTCAAAGACTGAGTTTGTCTTGACAATAATAAATTAGTAGCTTGAGTAATGGTTCTGAGAAACTGAACCAATATTGGGCTGTATCCCTCTGGTGAATGAAAACAAAAGACAGTAGAGCTCTGATTCAGACAGGTTTCCTTTCATATACAATTTAAGATAATGGTCTTATTTAGTACCATAAGAAATATTAAAACACATAAAAGTATCTCTGCATAAGAAGCTCCATAATGAGGTCAGTTCACTCTGAGTAACTTTATTTCCCTCAACATCTTTAACATATTGGTTATCAATAAATTCCAATTGATTTGATCTGTTCTCGTGAGAAATAGTTATTTTTTCTTTAAAATGTGATATGCTTTTAGAGAGAGAGAGAGAGAGAAAGAGAGAGAGAAAGAGAGAAACTATTTCATTTTTTAACTACTTTAATTTACAAGCAAAAGCTTTTAAAATTACAAGCATTTTCATAGTAAATGGATTGTCTGGGACCACTAACGCACTGTTTCTCAACATTGGCAACTTACATTTAAGTGTACATTATTACAAACAGGTCCCTACCCACTACCATTTTAGTACAAAAAAAGTCTCTAAATAGAATGTTCAGGGTGTGTAGTCTGAGGAACAGATTATTTTAAAAGTCTGAATATAGTTTCGAAAATCCTCTTGAGACTATAGTAAGATTTCCAGTCATGTTAAGAATGTTGACAACTTACTGTGCTATTGTCACAATTTGTGGTAAGGCTTAGAAAGTAGTAACAATTTCAGTTGAATGGTTAAAGATTTGATTGGCTCATGAATGGTCTACTTTACCTTCATATATAACCCAAATGAATTAGATGTCCCTCTAAAATACATCACATTCTACTACAGTTTTCATGTATCCTGTTTTCCAAACTACTACATTTCATTGTAGTTTCCTTGCTCAGTTCAAAATAGCCCTACATAAAATCTGGACAGAATATAAAGGTACAGGTTTCCTCTGCCAGTCATGTCTGACTCTAGGCCACGGTGCTCATCTCCGTTTCCTAGCTGAGGAGACCAGCATTGTCCATAGACGCTTCTGTGGTCATATAGCCAGCATGACTATATGCCGAGGAGCACGGAATGCTGTTACTTTCCCACTGAAGTGGTAACTATTTATCTACTTGCATTTACATGCTTTCAAACTGCTAGGTTAGCAGGAGTTGGGACAAATAATGGAAGCTAAGTCCATCATGTGGTACCTGGTCTCAAACTGCCAACCTTCTGGTTGACAAGCCCAGCATCTTAACTGCTTGGCCGCAATGCCCCATGGGATAGAAGGATGTAAAACAAAAGTGAAAAATTGTGGTAGTATTCATGGTAATTTTTATAAGTCCTGTGATATAAATCTAGATGATGATATTATTTCCCAAGGATGAAGAGGTCAAGATCGCAGTTTCAGTGATTAATTTATATTGCTGTAAGGCATTATTAGTTCTTTTTTCTAATATTAACTATTAGTGCTATTTTCTATCCTGACCAGCTTCAGTTAATTGTAAATTGTAGCTGTAGAAAGTTTAATTGCATTCACTGCCCTGATTGAAAAATGGAATGAAAAAAATGTGGAAAGAAGGGAGTATTATATCCTTAGTAAACCACAGCAAATCCTGATTGTATGAAGCATCATGAAAGAAATTCAGTGATTCCATATTGGTTCCACACACAGAAGAAATTTGAGATAATTCAAAGAAATATCAATATTTTTACATTTAATAAGCTTAGAAAATTTGAAAATTCTAATCAATATTACAATTTTTCAGCGTCATGACTAAATATATTTTTAACTTAAAGCCCATGCTATACTTTACTAGGATTTGCAATTTGATTCACCAGTAGCCATCAAGTAATTTTTTGTCTGTGAAAAGCTGGTAGAAAACCTGCATATTTTTTTTTATCAACGATGTCATTTTTTTTAATCCAGCTCCCACATTACCAGACTATGAAGGTATTGATGCCTCTCTCAATGAAACAGCAACAACCATAACTGTACTTCTGAGACCAGCACAAGCCAAAGGAGCACCTATCAGGTAAAAATAGTAATTACATGAAAATCCTCATGTAATAAAAATGGAGGGGAAAATATTGGATCAGCAGATGGCAACCTTTTGAGAATTGTGTGGCCACACATACACATGCATACACATATTTGACAACCAGAAAGATTGGACAAGGAGATACTATTTTTTTATTTTTTTTATTTAGAAAATTTATATTGCTACCTACTCACACATGGTAAATCAAGGTGGCTTACAACAGGGATCCTAACCTTGGCAACTTTAATACTTGTGGACTTCAACTCCCAGAATTCCTCAGCCAGGTGGGGAGGGAGCCACCATGGAGAAGGTCCTTCTTCTGGGTCCCACCAGATATATCTCCTTAGGGGATGGGACCTGCAACATTCCTTGTCTCCCCACTTTAGTGGGTAGGGTAGATGGGACTGGCAAGTGATGGTCCCTCACATAATCTGGTCCCAAGCCATGAAGGGTTTTAAAGGTGACAACCAGCACTTTGAATTGGACCCGGAAGCAAATCGGCAACCAATGCAGCTCCTGCAGGAGAGGTGATATATGTTCACACCAAAGTCAACACAAAATCATGTGGGCCACTGCATCTTGCACTTAACTGGAGCTTCTGGATACTTTTCAAGGGCAGCCCCATTGCAATAGTCAAGACAGGAGGTGACTAGGGCATGAGTGACCATGACTAGGTATTTTCATGACATCATGCAAATGGGATGGGATATTTCTATTTTTGAGGTGGTTTCCATGTTTTGTTTTATTTTGCTTTGCTGTTTGGATATGCTATCCCTATAGCTAAGACCTTAATGCATTTTTTAAAAAAAAAATCCTACACAACTTATTCCTTTGTCGAAAGATCTTAATAATTCAACGAAAGAATGATCTGAAGTCTCTGTGATGTAACTGTTTTGCACTTTGCTAAATGCTTTAGAAGGTTTTATTCCAATATAACAGGCCTTACTTCAGCGTCAACAGGCAAAATATTGAATTGCACAAGACTATATAATTTAGATAGATTTCCCTCATTTCTAGTCTTGATTTAAATAGAAATTGTGCATTGCAAAAGTCACCCTGTCCTTACAAATGTTCCATTGTCTTTCTTACCTGCTCCCTACACATAGCCCTTGAAGCAGATGTTTGGTAATCCAATTCAAAATTGCAGGTGCTGTCAATCATTTCTTAAGACACAACATGCTGCGGTAGTCACAGTTCTAATCATGGCAGACTCGTGTCTTGCCTGCCAAGTGTTATATCATAATCTGTAGTTTTTTATGGCCTCCTGAAGCTTTAAGCCAAACAACAGGTGTGAAATACAAAGGGAGACTGGATGAATCAGTGTTTATAATAAAATATATAGCTATTTCTTACCAAGCTGGAAATCCTCAGTAAAGAATAAATATTTATTCAAAAATGAGATAGGTCTGGGTATGCACAGATACAGACACACAGGCACAAATAATTCACCTTTCTGTTAAGCAGTGTCTTCAGATTTATAAATAAATGTGTCAGAAAACTGCTAATGGAATATTATGGATATTCTATTGATTTTATTGTTCCATGTTCCGGATCAAATTTACCATCTTCTTTGATATTGTCTGATATTGTCTAAATTAACATACAAACATAAGAATTGTTCTGCAGGAACAGAACAAGACCCAACACTTTGTTTCTCACAATGACAAACCAGATGATTTTGGGATATTGCTAAGCAAGATTTGAAGTCATACTTATTTTGTGTCTCCAACTACTGTAAAATCTGAAGACATGGTGTTTCCAACCTAGGAGACTGATAGGGCAAACTATTATATACAAATAGCCAGTGAACCTGATGTTTCCTCACACTGATAATATTATTTAGCCTGGTAAGGAAACATCTACAAGAAAACAACCAAGCTCAGAGAGCAGCATGAACCCAACAGTTCAACTCTGAGTTAGATATATTGTCTTCTATTGGAATAGCATTACGATCAGTACTTCCTTTTGGTTTCACCACACACTTGTGTCAGATCGAATGACAGCCACCGTTTAGAATTAAATCCAGGGTCTCAGCTTCTCTAGCCAGTTGAAAGACTCATTATCCTAATTTAAGTTATTTAGGTTATTTAATAAATGTAGTTTATATGAAGACACAATGATTAGTTTATTTAATAAATGTAATGTCTTGTTATACTTTAAGCACGAATATACTGAGATGACATGAATGCAATTGCAATCCTCCAGCACTGCACCTGGTTCTCCATTGTTAACCTCAAACTTCTTTCAATAATTCAAAATCACCTTCAGAGTTCTGATCAGAGAGGCACTAACATATCTATTTCATATTTGTAGCCAGATAATGCCTTCTACAATGATTCTATAGAAAAACCCAGACTTCCATTGGTTTTTTTTTATTTATACTTTTGGTGTAAAAAGCAACACCTTTCCTAATAACATTATTTCCTTCCTTATATTCTGGAATGTTCATATCACCCAGATTCTCTCCATTCCTCCAGACTTCTATTCACCATATCTGTGCTTTTGCTTTTGCTTTTTCACCACCAAACACTCTAATTCCCATTCTTGGCTTGGAGATTTTTAGCCTGGGAGAGAAATTTCTGTACTTAATTATGGATGAGGCAAACTTTTCCCTGGCCTTGTCATCATCTTTTTGTCTTCTGATTTCTGCGACCATCCATTAACCATTTCCAACACCGGTTCTATCATTTATAATAATTCCTGAAATGTCTATACAGTATCCTTTTCAGAACACTATGCGGCCCGTCGCTAGTCTGCTTCCCCAGGGATCAATTTCAAAGCTGCTCTGGCACCTTCCTGATGTTGCTATTATCAGCAGCCTGGCACCATTTCAGTTCAAATGGAACCCACCTCTCTTTCATAGGTTCATTTTTGTTCCCAGAAGATTCTCAAAAGTCTAAATCTTAAATAAAATCTTATTGAGCCTATCCCCCCCACCTCTAACATTTCGCTTTATTTATTTATTTTTAACCTTATGCACACTACACAGTCGTTCCATTACCCCAATTATAATTATTCTAAACAGCACAGAAATTGACATTGACAGGTTTACTGATCACCTAGTACTTTGGAGAGCAAAAGCCCTGTTGGTTGGGTTGCGTTGGCTGCTCAGAAAAATAAGAGCAGCTGTGTCTGTAAAGTCTAAAATAAGTTGCCTGTGTTTCCAACAGAGTAGTCCAGCTGTTTAGGTGAAACTTTGGAACTTAGATTCTATATTCTCAAAGTGCAGACAATTTTACATCTTTTCACTGAACGGCATCTGAACATATTCATAGAATAAACTTTCCCACTTTGTTTATCATCCTTTGCCCAGGCTGCTTTTCAGTTCCGTGTCACACTCACTTTGCTTTTTGCTACTTGAGTAGATTTTACCCAAATAAAATAAACAATATATGAATTTAATCTTGAAGTGATGTAGATTTGCTTCTGGCTCATTAACCTTGAAAGGTCATAGTTATAACTATAATCACATCCAATCTCTATTAGGAGCATTTTAATTGATTACTTGACATTCTTTTGAGACATAGCATGGCCTGGGCTTGTGATGCAATTTGCTATTAATAGTTAGATACTGTAGACAGGAATATAACTGAGAAAATGGAGATAGCAACTCTATTAGGGCTTTATTATTTCCATATTGCAGATATGGAAATCATCCAAATTACGACCTGCTAATTTAGATATTCAGTATTCATATTTAAGTATTCATATTTAGCAGTTGTTATCTATTCAGTTTTCACTCAGTTGTTCCCTACCTCTCACCTTTTCATTAGTGGATTTTTCACAAATGTATCAAAACTCAATTATTGTGAGTTGAAGGTACAATTATTGTTCCTTATTCCATGAATTACACTTGCAGTTATATGGATAGAAGAATGTTCTTTGACATCTATTAGAGATAGATTCTGGTAACTTCATCTGCATTTGTGCTGTTCTTTTTTCATTCTTCCTCAGCAGGAAATGGAATCACAGCCCCGCAACCAAATATTTATTTATTTAGGCAGTTTAGATGGCTGCCCATATCACTGTGGTGACTCTGAGAGGCTAATGGCTGTTCAGAACAAAAGCAGCAACAAAATAAAATACATAAACAGCAGCCAAGGTAAAAACCAATTAAAATAGCCATCTCATGATCCCAGGTTACCTTGAACAAGACCTTGTGAAGGACTGTATCCCCATCAATCAGAATCCCAATGTTTTGGAGACAGCCCTGTGAGAACATAGGACTAATAACACAACAAGGTTTGGAAGCCAGCTTGAAATTTTGATTAAAAACCAGGTCTGGATAGTTGAACTACAGTTAATGGAGGGAAGAAGAAAAATAAAGTTTGCCTGACTTTGTGATTATAATGGCCAGGGACGGACCCATACGATAAAAGATGAAGAGTCTCTACTATTTTTTCCCAGAAATTGTTTGAGCTTTACTCATTTTGGCCTTGACACAGTGGTTTTGTAGTATTTTTTGCTGCCACAACCTATCTCAGTTGGGAATACCCTCCTACTTAACATCAGAGGGTAGAACATAAACTAATCCACAGCCTCTTCTGACAAATCAAGGAATACATGAATTATGAAAATAAATTAAAATGTATTGTGCTTTCTCCTGTAACTGTAGTGCAACCTTGAGTGTACTGGACAAAACCAATCCCACTCCGGTAGGAGTCAAAACAATAAAATTGAGTTTTATTAAAAATAAGAAAAGAAAAAAGATGTACAACTTTCCTCTCCATGTTAAACAGCCTCTTGTGAGAACAATATTGGACAAATTACTCCGATAGCATTGCTGAAATTACAAGCAGCGTATTAAAATGATCTCCCAGAAAATAGTTCAAAGGAGAAATAAGACGAGAGATTCCAAATCCATAAAGAAGAACTAACCATACAAATTGCTGAGCCTGTGCAGAGAACCTGAAATTATAGCCAATAAGCAAGAATTCTAAAATCTCAAGGGTGTTAAAGCATTTAACTAATGACACTCATTGAAATAAAACCCGGAGTTCTAAGAGACAGGGCTAGCTGAGCTTTGGTACCCAAACAGTTCCTAAAATCACAAGTCCCTTCCTGATTCAGTGTTACCTTGACACACATTTTGTTTGTCTCTTGAACATCCAAGCTTTCTTTCTGCAGTTTATGGGAGATGGTAAAGCCCCACAGAGTACTTTTCATTCTCCCTTCAAGGCTTGGGTTGTAAACCACCTGCTTTTTCTTTGAGAGGCTTTCCTTTTGTCCAATTTGAACACACCTGGATTTGTCTCTCTTGCCTGCCTACATATTCCTATCTATTGCATGTATGTTTAGATGAAGCTGTTGGTGTTGAGGTTAGTTCTGTGTCTCAGAATAGTCTTCAACCTTGATATGGTGGAAGTGACCAAAAATAATAAATGTGGGGCAAAAGGGCTTCCCGTTCCACCACCTTTAAAGGATGAATAGTCTTACATTTGCAGCTGGCAGCAGATGATTTAGGAGTATAGGATACAGAATATCTGGTTATGTATATCGGCCAATCTGATGGTGTGTGTGTGTGTGTGTGTGTGTCTGTGTGTGTGTGCTGGGTTAAATATCCTACCTTTTGAACAGGCCACTTTTTATTTTATCATGTTTCATTTTGTCAGATGGCTGGGAGAAAGATTCTGAAATAATTTACATTGTTATTCTGACTTTGAAATGAGAGTTTTAAGTTCATATTTGGGAATGATGGCACTGCCTGTCAAAAGATCAGAATGCTGCATTTGAACTGGTTGTCCCATTTCAGTTGTTTTGCCGCTTTCTTTTGCATGGGAAAAAAAGGATTATAACTATGATTTCTACTGAAATGGGCATTTTCTTAGAAATGACCAAGTGCTGTCTTTGAGAGGAAGCTATTGGCAAGTTTTGGCATAAGTAAATAAATAAATATTGGTGTATTTTTTTTTAATTGCAATATTAAATAGGCTGAATGCCATCTGTTCCAACAATTTGTCAGTGGCAACTATAGGGAAAGGAGCTGACTATTTGGAGAGAGTGGACAGATTTCTCTCCATCTGTGCTTGTATTACAAAATGTCGTTTATATTTTAGATCTGCATAGTTGTGAGTCAAGATGTCATATCAAGGTCAAAAGGTAGAGATGCCTGTCAACATGCTTTGTCTTGGTGTAACATGACAAGTGCAATTTGGTGCTTCAGGCATGGCTTAGAGCTGCCCTGTTGAGCCTTCAAACTGAGCTTTCTGTATTATCATTTCAAAGGGAAACACTAACTTTAAATGCTGCAAATTATCAAGCAGAATGCTTAATCTATTACAAATTACTCTGTGTAATGTGAAATCTAGTCTTGGACTGCTCAAATGCCAAAGCCTTTAAAGTTGAAAGGGTTTCCTTGAAGCCCAATCCTGAGCTCACCAGATACATTGAGCTTTTAACTCTCAGTGTTCTCAAGATTATTTCCATTCTCCTGTCCTCTCATAGCAGTTTGAAGCTGACTTGCAGTCACCTTCAATTTTGCTGACCTTGAAATGTTGGGAATAGGCAGGAAACACTGCAGGCCAGGTGGTGCCTACTCTCCTGCTAGCAACAGAAGAATGCAAAAAAACCAACAACAACATACAGCCCATGAACCATCTTTAGCTTGTACCAGTCTTGAAGAAACAAAAATAATCCTAACTCGTGCTCCCACTTCATATAACAAACTGCTGTAACTTAGCAGAGTCTCAGAATTATATATATATATATATATAAATACTGGTTTTACTCCAATTTTATTCTGTTTATGTGTCTTTGCCTTCCAGGAAACTAATGACCATGAATCTCCACTATCATTCTTTTGTCTTATGGTTGATTATGGGGTAAAAACTGGTACTCTTCCATGTTCTATGCTAGGGGTCCCCAATCCCTGGGCCGCAGCCCACTACTGGACCTTGAGCTATTCGGAACCGGGTTGTGCAAGCAGTGGTGAACACGTGCGCGCGGACCCCATTTGTGTGAGCAGCAGGCAATGGAGCTGCGTGTGCATGTGCACTTCTCTGCCACTTGTGCAGAACCATCTCCTCCTCCCTTCCAGAGCACAAATTCAAAAAGGTTGGGGAACTCTGTTGTGTGCCATTGACCAAGTCAGTTAATACATCTAGTTTTAGACGTGTTTTCTAGAAATTGTTGTAGTGAATCATCTGCACAAGTTGGCCTAGAACGCTTTTTTTTTTTTTTGCTTATTCTGTAAGTTGGGTCTTCATAGAGATTTGTTAGCATCCATAATAGCAGAGTAATTATGAAAGGTTCTTGGAGCACAATGATGATATGGACTTTATTCACACACACCCTTTTGCTTCAGTATTTATCCTCTACTGACCATGCAATTGCACAAATATGGATCTGTTCTGAACCGATGCAAAGTCCACATGTTCATGTGTCTCAACCAGCATGGTCAAATCTTAGTCAAAGGGTTCATTTCCGATCTTGCCATCTCTTTACTACAGCTTTTTAAACCAAGCCTGCTGCACGATGGCTACTTAATCATGTACTCACTCATTCTAGCATTCTTCCTCTCTTGGTCTTGAACAGCGCCTATCAGATTGTTGTTGAAGAGCTGCATCCTCATCGAACCAAACGAGAAACCGGTGCAATGGATTGCTACCAGATTCCTGTCACATATCAAAATGCCCTGAGCAATGGCTCGCCGTATTATTTTGCTGCAGAATTGCCTCCTGGCAATCTTCCCGAAGCAGCACCTTTCACAGTTGGTGACAATAGAACTTATCAAGGCTTTTGGAACCCACCTTTGGTGCCTCGGAAAGGGTATAATATCTATTTTCAAGCCATGAGCAGTGTTGAAAAGGTAAGTGCATAAAGACTTTTCTTGTTTGTTTGTTTGTTTGTTTGTTTGTTTATTCATTGATTCATCCACACCAGGGGTCTTCAAACTTGGCCCTTTTATGACTTGTGGACTTCAACTCCCGGCTGAGGAATTCTGGGAGTTGAAGTCCATAAGTCATAAAAGGGCCAAGTTTGAACACCCCTGATCCAAACATTCATTCATTCAATTTTCAGCAATCCCAACTATAGTCCGACTCTAAATCAGTTGTTTTTCCTGTACTGTAAGACCAAGACTGTTATCAAGAAAGAGGTCCCAAAAACAACATGGGAATTTTGACTCTTTTTCTCTTTAATACCTGCCATGTGTGGTAAACAATTTGACATCAAACGTTATTGCTGAATAACCCATATTTGTTATGGAATAAAAAAAATTCTACAGTTTATGCCATTTTCCCTGGAAATGTAATTCATGGGGACTAATAACAATACAAGAAAAGCTTCAGTACGACCAAAGATCTATGAAATATTTTTTTAAAAGACAATGAAAATGTCCATATTTCAATATTTGGATTTATATTTTGATATAGTCCAAGATATTCTAGTGCCTGAAAGAATATCAAATATCTGTGTGTGGGGGGGAGAAGGGAACAATTTAAATTGACAATCTCCTTTGCCTTAGTAGTATCTTAAATCTATCAGCAGAAGCATAATTCTAATTATAATCTCAATTAGTGTGAATTTTTTGTTCTCTGATCTTAGTTCTTAGTCTGGCTTTCTTTCTGAAACAAAAAAAAACCAAAACAGTTCTTGTAATCCACATATTCCACATACATTTTCAATGGAAAATATTCTGTCCAAAAATATTTACAGTAGTGGTTTCAGTAAAATCAGTTTAGCTATGTTACAGTTTTTCATTTTCAAAACAAATAATCCCCTTCATCTCTCTTTTCACAGTTCAAAATATTAAGTTGGTTTTGGAAAAAGAAAACCTAGGTTGCCTGGTAGGCTAATACAAAATTACTAAGTTTTCATAGCCTTCACCCCATACTTCAAATATAAAGAGTACTGTCATGGCTCCGAAAGATGAAACTCTTCAAAAGAACTTCAAGGCATTGTTTTACCTTAAAGAATCTTTATTATGAGTAGTATAATATTGGAACAGCATAATCGTAGCCAAAAACTGAATTCTCCTCCCTTGAGCACATAGTATCAAAGTACAATTCCCTCCTCCAATTAACTGTCATAAATCACATTCCCCAATTAGCTCGGAAGTGCGAGCTTCCTCTCCAGTGCTCCAGCCTGCCAATTCCTTATCAGCTCTGGTTACAACAACCTTGTTTCTCACACTAGGTTTAGTGTTGTTATGTCTAGCTGAACCCTTGTTCACATCCCCCCTCCCAGCATCAACTAACTCTAAAAGCAAAAGGTAAAAGATGGCTACATTTCCATCTGTTGTCAATGCAAAAACATCTGATCTTAGCAGCGTTGACAAGTACATTTTGAAAAGCCATTTATTTAAAGTATGATCTAAGTCTATTCCTTGTTTGTACAAAAACTCAGTATACAAGTTAGAAATTACTTGACTGCTGTGCAGATGCTGAAGGTATGACCAGAGATTGCTACTGCAATTTCTTCACTGTTTGAAATTTTGGTGCCACTGAGCACTCCTTCTATTTCAGTATGTATATCAATAAAGAACAAAGCAACAGGAAGTTCAGTACTGCTGGCAGTTGTAGGTGTGAAAAGCAACATGACTAGATAACCCCCATGCTGATGCCATTGAATCATTTTCTTTCATAAACCAAAATATGAGACAAGAAAAGGGAGAAACAGCATTTGGGATAGTAGCCGAGATATTTTGGGTTGTGATTTCCAAATTAAGTATGGCCTTGTATAAAATTTTGGTTGCCTTCTTATGATGTCCCAGTAGCAGATGGTTGGGAAAAGATGAGGGGGGGGAAGGATTTGCTGTTAAATTGGTAGTCTTCAGAATAATTAATCTGCTTTAGAAAGACTGATTTTCCTACCCTGCCATTTGCATTTTGGCTGCAATTAATAATATAGATGTTTCAGCTTCAGTGATTTTACCATCAAACCTCTACAATGAATTCTTGCCTAATGTTGTAGTTATAAAAATTAGCTGAATATTGTGGCAAGATGGGAAAATGGCATCATTTTTAAAACCATCCTACACTGGCTTGTTGAAGCTGGAGGAGTTTCCTGAAACTAGAATGTGCTTAAATTAATGACCATAAAATTGGTGATGTATTCTGAAAGAGAGGGTGGGGAAGGGAGAGAGAAAGAGAGAGAGAGAGAGAGAGAGAGAGAGAGGGAGGGAGGGAGGGAGGGAGGGAGGGAGAGAGAGAGAGAGAGATGATGATGATGATGATGATGATCATATTAACTGGTAAGTTCAATTGAGAGATAGATCAGTAGATGACAAACAGAAGACTTAACATAAAATTTTGGAAACCACATTGATGTCAATACAGAAACATACATGTGTGTGGAAAGATGCCTAATAATATATAGATCGGGTTCATATTCATGCTAACCAATGGTATGTGTAGCCATGGTTCATTGAATGAAGCACAGTTGGTTGGGTTCCCATAGTATGCTAAGCCAAAATAAGAAAACCATAGTTTGGTTAGGTAGAATTGTGAAACTGGTTTCCAAGTATGGTATGATTTCCTCCCAGCCTTCAATTGAGGTGGCAGGAATTAAGCTTAGAATCCTCTGAACATAAAACATGTTCTTTATTTCTGAACTTGGGCTTTATAAAAAAAAAAGTTTTACAAATTCCTTTCTAGATGGTATGTGAGCCTTCCTTTTTTGTAATTTTAAACTTGGATTAGAGATTTTAAACTTGGATTAGAGATTTCTAGATGGGGATGGAAGTATGAGTATAAGGAATCTACTTCCACATTTGATAGGAATGTAAAATTGGATAGAGTATTTGGTTTTATATATTGCACCTAATTAGTTGTGTAGTTGTTCCTATGTATTTGGCCTGCATTTTGCAACAGGATGATACTCAAATCATACAATATCTTTGTATTTCAACAGCTAAGGAGAGCCAGTTAGGTATAGTAGATAAGACATAAGGCTAGACCAGGGGTAGGCAACCTTGGCTCTTTTATGACTCGTAGATTTCAACTCCCAGAATTCCTGAGCCAGCATGAGTCATAAAAGAGCCAAGGTTTCCTACCTCTGTGCTAAACACCAGAAGACCATGAGTTCTAGTCCCATTTTAGACACAAAGCCAGCTGAGTGACTTTGGGCCAGCCACTTTCTTTCAGGCTTAAGAAGGAGGCAATGGAAACCCACTTGTGAAAACATTGCCAAGAAAACTGGAGGAACTTTTCCTGGCAGTCACCAGGATTCAAAGGGACCAAAAAAAAAAAAAAAAACAAGACTTGGGTTAACATAAAAAGTTGACCTTTTCCTACCCATCTTCCATTCTTTAGCAGTTAAGAAGAGTGGAATTTTCTTGCTGCTGAGATTATATATTTAGTCAGACTCAATCAATGTCTAGAGATTAGCGAGATGCACTTTTGCTTAGCTAAAATCCATTCCTTGAATATGCAAGCAAACTTGGAAGATCCAGTAATACTTGGGGGAAAAAATGTAAAGACAGATTAGTGCAATCTCATTTTGCCTTTGCATTTAGGTGTAGCATTTATTACTCACGTCTTCCTCATCCTATAATTTGCATATAATAACACACATTAAAGTACTGTTTTAGAATTTGCAAAGATGATATACCCGTGGTACTAATAAATTTGGACTAACTGTATTTTTTTTAAACAGGAGACCAAAACTCAGTGTGTTCGAATAGCTACTAAAGGTAAGACATTTTACACACACACCATGAATTAGACGGCATAGTTATTTTGATTTTTTGCTGAGAGTTTACATTTTAAATTCTGTTATGCTTCCTGTAAAATGCTTGGGCTCTGGTTGATGTTGTACCATGCAGACAGGGGCAATCTTCCCAGGAGATGAGTTACTTCAATGCTAGCTCAGTAGAAAGTTTTGCTTGTAAGTGAAAATACAACAGCAGCATTGTTCAAAAGATGTCAGACTTCTCTTGTGCCAACTACAACTTATTCCAAAGAACAAGTTGCTCAGAGCCCGGTTTATTAAGTTTTTATTAGGAAAAAGCTTAATTCTAGCAAATAGTTTGCTTTTGAATGAGAAACCTGTTATAAAGGGTAGATTAGAGGCGGAAGTTTCTGGTTCCCTTTTGATGTCAATGGAGGGAGCTTTCTCTCTTTTATGAAAAGAGTTCACAGAAGGGTTGTATGCATGTAGATGTACTTCTTCGACTTCTTTTATTATTATTTTTAAGAAAAGCTTATTTCACTCACTCAGGGGGGTAGGTAAGTTCTAGTGATAAGCCAGAGAACTGGAAAAGATAGAACCAATTTGTAAAGTAAAAAACTACCAATTTGTAAAGTTACAGAACACTAATCATGATACAGCTCTAGGATGAATTCTTGTCTAAGGTTGTAATTATACGATGTTATAATTGCAGTTTTTCTCTCTGTGTTGCGTTCTTAAAAACTTAAGGGTGGTGTTGGGAATGATGATGTGTCCTTTCTTAAACCTAGAAAATGAAAGGCTAAATATCATGGGGATTTGTAATAAATACCCCTAGATTTTTTTCTTCCCAAAAAGATGAAAAATGCATAACTGGCTATTAGATTACAGTGTAATTTTTAAATCTTGCATTTTGCCCTGACAGTATCATGCCATGTTGTTACCATCCTTGCTACAGAATAGAGCTGTATGTTTGAATGTGTATGTGCATGTGTAAAGCACTTCTTTTCAGATTATTTTTTTTTTTCAGGCCTACAGGGCTGAACCTGCTCCCATTTTTTCTGTGTGTGTGTGTGTGTGTGTGGTTGTTGTAACTATATCTACTCCTTTACACAAGAAGATAGTTAAACTCATCCATGTTTTGTTCCGAGGCAAGTGTCTTATACGTCTGAGTTTTTTGGGGGGGGGTTGCATTAACTGTACTAGGATTTTGTGGTATCTTTTAGATTAATCTGGACGTAGCAATCCTATGACATGCTTATTCTTGAAATGCAAATAGGTTTTATAGCTGCACTACTCAGTTGGGGCAGTGCTTCTACATTATTTACTTCCCATGAGATAACATAGGATGCAAATGTAGCCTTAATGTCATTAAATCAAATTAAATTCAAACAGAATAATGAATGATTTGATTATGTGATGTGTGGATTGTTAGGAACCACATGAACAAACCCTCTCTAGGATCATCTGTTGCCAACTTGGCCTTTGCAATTTTTTCTAATGTTGCACTCATAATTACTGCTATAATTGAGTCCACTCAATTTATTTCCTTTCGCCTTTTCCACATTGCACATTAGGTCTTCATATCATGTGTCTAAAATATGACAATTTGAGCTTGATCATTTGTGCCTGGAGTGAGAAATCTGAATTGATTTCCTCAATATCTATTTGTTTGCTTTCTTGGCTATTCATGGTATTCTCAACCTTCTCCATCAAAATTTAAAAGCACCAATAATTTTCCCATCCTGCTTCTCAATGCTCAACTTTCAGTTCCATATTCTGAAACTATTGACAAAATAATTATTTTATATTATATTAAATATTATAATTATAATCTTTGTTGGTACAGATCTTTTCCCAAGGCTTTTGTGACTACTGTAACATATATCTGGATTGCTGCTTCCTTTATGATTTGTGGTTGATCGTATAAAGCAGAAGCTATCTACAACTATCTTTGTTGATTCTAAGGATAGTGGCTGTATCTATTGCCATTAGTTATATCTCCTTTATATTTAATTTTAATCCCATTTTTTCAGTATTCTCATTACCTTAACTTGTATATCATTACCATTTTCAGCTATCAGAGTAGTGTCCTCAGCCCTAGTGATGACACCATCACCTTCCTCCAATTTAAAAACCATATTCATATACTTCCAAGCCAGCCTCCCCCAACAATTGTATTTATTTTACCTTTGTTTATTTGATTTCTATAGCCACCCATCTCAACAAATGATTCTGGGTGGCATACATCACCATAAAAGCATAAAACAAAACAATGCAGAGGGCAGGATCTTCAGCAAAATGGCACATCTCCTTGTCCCCGCCAGCCAAAATTTCTTGGGTTATAGCTCATATATTCAGCATATTGGTTGAATAAATAAGGAAAAAAGTATACAGCCTTGTCTCACTCCTTTGCTGACACTGAGTGAGTCTGTTTTGCTGTGTTTCACTTGGATTGTGGCTTCCTCTTTGTGTGTAGGCTTTGCATAAGGACAATAAGATTTTATGAGATACCTGTTTTTCTTAAGGACATTCCACAATTTGACATAATTGATACAATTGAGGGCCTTTCTATAACCAATGAAGCACTTACAGGTTTTTTTCAGTATTTTCATTTTTCTGTTATTCAGTGTGCATCAGCAATAAGGTCTCTGGTTCCTTGGCCTTTTCAGATGACCCCGATAAACATATGCAGAAGCTGTTGCCCAGGCAACAGGAGCTGATACATTTTTTTTTAAAGTTTAGAACAGCCAGATAATATTTGGAAGTGATTCAAATGGACACCTCCCTAATTTACTTTTTTAATTATAAGGAAGAGGTGGAGGTAACTGTTTAATAAGACTTGTAAGATTCTGTTATTATAGCCAATGAAAATTGTGCACATTGGTATAAGATGCTATAATTCAGAAGTGCAGATTGTTGTTGGACAGATTGATGTTATGCAGTTAAGTAACAATTATCCTATAGACCCACCAAACTTTTCATTCATAATCATAGCCCTGGTTCCTGAATTAGTTGATGCTGCAGTGTGTTGCAGTTCACTAAGGCATGCATTTTTTTTTATAATAGTGATGATGTAAGAGCACATGGCTACTGTTGATTCTTTGCTACTTTTGATAATTTAAGGTCCCTTTGTGTGAATATCTGACAGCAAATTTTAAATTGCTTAATGCCTTTAGAGGATTCAAGCATTGCCCAGAGTGGAAAATACAAAATCAAATTATTGTGATAAGCACATCACATCATCCCAAGCAATAAAGTGCAAGGACCTAAAATCCCTTTGCAAACTACTTGGCAACTATCCCTAACTCTGCAAGCATCTTTTTTCCCTTCTCTAATTTAACAAGCCTCTCCATCAGCCAAACTTTATCACCTATAGAACAAACTTTGGGTCTGCTGGGTATTTGAGCAGAATTAAATTCCTTCCCACACACGCATTCACACACATGGGCATGTGAGCACACACACACACACACACACACACACTTTTCATTTTTAAATTGTTTCCTTCCTACTTGTCTTAATGAGAGAGAATTAACTATACCTGCTCCAGGATTAGCAAAGATTTTTTTTTAACCTTCTGAGGAATAAGTGAAGAGGATGAAAACAAAATATTATAATGGATCTCCCATATCAAAAATACCTTTTGAAATCCAGGTTGGGTTTGTTTTTTTTTTTAGGTTTCTAATGCTAGAGGCTGTAGAGATTTCTGCATGAGCAATTATTTTGGGGCCTCTGAAGATTTGATAAGTATTTTAAGATAAACTTCCCATCCACTTTATTAGTTCATTTTAAGTATGACTCAAACATTTCAGCTTTGCTTTGACTGAATGAAACAACTGGCATTGATTTTATTAGGATCTAAAATAAGAAGTTAAGATTTTTCCATTTTAGTATTTAATTAAAATCACAACTAACATTGTATGTAATATGTAAAGAAAGCCACCAAAAGTATCATGAAGACCGCCTCCTACCAAATATCTCCCTTCGACCAGTCCGCTCCCACAGAGAGGGCCTCCTTAGGGTGCCGTCGGCCAGTCAATGCCGGCTGGTGACCCCCAGGGGGAGAGCCTTCTCTGTGGCAGCTCCTGCCCTCTGGAATGACCTACCCCCCGACCTACGTACAACTACGGACCTGCGCCTCTTCCGCCGAACCTTGAAAACCCATCTATTCCATGCGGCCGGCCTGGCGTAGTTTTGATTGGGCTTTGCTAGGGGTTTTATATGGGGTATTTTAGAGCAGGCTTTTTATTCAATATTTATTGTGATTTTTATTATTGCCTGTTCACCGCCCTGAGTCCCGTAAGGGAGATAGGGCGGTATATAAATTTTAATAATAATAATAATAATAATAATAATAATAATAATAATAATAATAATAATAATAATAATAATAATAATAATAATAATAATAATAGATAAAGAAAGCTTCTTTTAATTTTCCCAGACAAAAAGAACAGAACAAACCATCCATTACCCCCAAATTTGCACAAAGAAAGAGTAATCTGCTATGACTTGCATTCTAAATCTGCCTATGGCCCTCAAAGCCTTGGATGAAGCCTTCAAAATTTCTCCAGGATTGTTATTTTCAGGAAGGGACACTAAGAGTGAGAAAAAAATTGAATTCCTTCATGTCTTACTGACAAGTTGAAAAGTCACGTTTGTGAGTCAAGTTAGTATCTATCTAAAAGTCTGTTACGTATAAGCTGGGTTGACAAGATCAGAAATGAGGAGGTGATAAGCCGCCTGGGAAAGCCAAGGGAAATCATCAAAACAATTAAAAAACGAAAATTAGAATATTGCGGACATGTGATGCGACACCCAGAAAAATATGGCATACTCCATGTAATCCTCCAAGGAAAGATTGAAGGCAAACGAGGTCCAGGCAGAAGAAAAACATTGTGGCTTCAAAATCTAAGGGATTGGTTGGGACAAAACTCAGCAGCACTTTTTTGTGCGGCTGCTGATAAAAACAGGATCGCCAACATGATTGCCAATGTCCGATAACGGATATGGCACAAGAAG